CTCATTGGTTTTGTTGTTGCATTTTTGCGCGTTCTATCACAGTTTTACTTCAGTGAACTTTTTGTATTTTTTCACTTTAATCGTAACAACTTAGTCTATCGCTGCTAGTGAGTGCACGACTACCTGGCTATGCTGTTGTTGCGCGTGCATTAAACACACCAGCTGACAATCTCTTAACATATGAGTCTGACCCAGCCAGTCACAAGTCCAGTAAATAAGTCTATTTCTAGTTCGCATCTACCACAGCTCAATCAAGAAATGACAACTGGTAAACTGTCAATAAAGTCTTGGATGAATCAATTTTTTTTTGTCTCTACTATTTATCAATAAGAACCAGTATTCTTAAAATTACACCAGATGATGGAGTGAGAAAATGATTGAGAGGTGGACTAAGACAGTGTTAGGTTGGGTCTTTTCAGGATATCTGCTGACAGTGATAAAATAGAGAATAATGCCAGATTTATTCTACTGTCAGCATCAATCAAATGTTTGCTGCACCTGCGGTGACAGAAATGTTGTCTATATCTGTTGAGCATTTTTTTTTTCCCATTTTTTTCCCACCTTCAATGTGCTGTTGGAACAGAATGTACAAGCATTGGCTTATCAAGATTATATCATCTGAGCTCCGTGTTTGAGTTGATTTGAATAGAATTGTGCTTAAATGAATGCTTAATCTGGCGCGATAGCACAAGACAGAAGTGGAAGAAGAGGGTATATGCTGCGGTAGCTCAGCACTTTTCCTGACAGTGTATATATACACCTGCTCTGAATATAATTTCAATGCAAATGGGCTGGTGTTGCAGTCAACCATCAGGAAGGGAGTGAGTGTGTGTTTTAACAATAATGGCTGGGTTTCGTTTAAATTCACATCCATTGAGGGATAACAATATAATCATCTTCCCCAGCAGCTCTGAAACAGCTGTTTGGGCTCTGTGTGTGTGTGTGTGTGTGTGTGTGTGTGTGTGTGTGTGTGTGTGTGTACACATCCTCATCCACGTGTGTGTGTGTATTTTATTTATTTATTTCATGGATGAGCGTGAGTGGGCAACTGCTGCTGCAGCTCTGTGTTGCTATGGTGACAGCTGAACTTCAGGCCGAGGTTGAGGCTTCTACTGTATTTGAAGTAGATGCTGTTGCATAAGGTAAAGTATAACACAGATTTGCACCATGCAAGGCAATTACTGTGCTCTTTCTCGAGTGTGCGTGTTTGACAAAAGAGCAATGTGAGGACTGTGCCACGCTGTTGCCCCTCAGGAGATCGGCAGGAGGCTGAATATTTCATAACTTTTTCC